ACTCTGGAAACCAATGCTATAAGGATATGGGGCCTGATCCTGTGTGGCTCTTATGATCTAGTCCAGTATCCTGTTTCCCACACTGGCCAAGCAGATGCCCTTGGGAAGCCCACAAACAAGACCTGAGGATAGCAGCCGCCCTCCCTCTGAGCCTGCAAGCTGGAAATACCCACTGTGGGTGGTGACGATGGCTTAGCCGAAACCTCCATGAATTCGTCTAGCCTCAGTTGAGATCTACTTACAGGGTCACAACCCGATCTAAGGTGGGTTGCAAAAGCAGCATTACCACCATACAAATATATGGTTGAAAATAATGAAGGCAGGGTCACAAAATGCATGTTTGGTTAAAGGTGGGTTCTGGGCCTGAAAAGGTTGAATTCATGGCTGTCACCACATCTTGTGGTAGCAAATGTCATAGTTTTTAATGCTTTGTGTGGTATCGTCTGTCTGTCTGTCTGTCTGTCCATCCATCCATCTTCTTGCATTTATTTAATGTTCCTTCCTTCTGTCATGGTACCCACGGTGGTGTTCACCTGGTACTCATCCAGGTCTGATTAGCCCCAGACCTGTTTGCCTTCAGCATGATGGTGGCCTTGCGAACCTTGTTGTGAGTGTGTCAAGAAGTTCTTACTTTTGACAGTCCTGAATTTCCTGTCCTTCGCCTTCCCTGGCTCACCCCTGATTCTAGTATTCTTGGGCTGAATTCTGTAATGCTTACTCTTACTCTCTTACCCCCTCTCCTTTTTTTTTATAAGATATTTATTAGTGTTTTACAAAAAACAGAAGTTTACAGAGTAAAAGGAATAAAAACAGAGATTTACAGAGTAAAAAGAAAACATAAAAGAGGAAGAAAAATAAAAAGAAAATTACAAGAATTACCAAAAAATACATAGAAAAAAAGAAAATACAAAATACAAAAAACAGATAACTAAAAAAAATTTGAAAAACAAATCCATTTTTCGATATCTTTAAGCTCATTTGCTTGTTTCCTTGACCTCCTCACACCTCCCCTTTTTGTATTTCCATTTACATAATCAATTCAGCAAATCCATACCCTCTTTCATTTATCTTAACTCTATATCTTAACATATTATAGCTATATGTTTTCATCCATTATCAATCCATTTTTGCATATTCTTATTAACCTTGTTGCCAATACCACTTATTTTCAATCCAACATCATTTTAACATTCATTAATTTTACAATATTTCTGCAAATAGTCTTTAAATTTCTTCCAATCTTCTTCCACCAACTCTTCTCCCTGGTCTCTTTACCCCCTCTCAACCAGAAAGCCCCGTTCTAACCAGCCCCTGAATGGTTTTGGGTTTCCCTTTTCTACACCTTCTCCTTTTGACACCCAAAATGTACACTGTGTTCCAAGTGTGTCCACACCACTGATTGGTATGAGGGCATTATATGTGTTCCCAGAGCCTGTTCCAGTTGACAACCCTGCCGCTATGCTATGGACCCGTTCCAGTTGCCAAATGCGCTTCAGAGGCCCTGACAGCCTATTTCAAGAAATTCAATCTAGAAGCTACCATGGTGTGTATCAAACTGCAGTCCTAGCTGTGAATTGATTTGTGGTAGCTGGATTTCCGAGGGATTCCCCACCCCCAGCCCCACGACAAGTGCAAAGGATGCTTCCTCCATTTTGTAAACCAGCTTCGTAATCTTATTTTAAAATAAAGTTTCATAGTGCCGACTTCTCTGTCCTTCCAGGTCCAGGGGAAGTGTGTTTCTCTTAAATTGTTCCCTCTTCCCCCAAAATGAAACAATTATCGGCTTCTGCCCAACTTTTTATATTATTACAAGAAGAGTCTCTGGGTCACCAAATCGTAGGGCTTCCCCGCTCTCCAGCTGTGAAATCAAGGCAACTTGTGGTGTTTCTCCCCCTTCTCTCAAACAAGGTGCACCCCTGGGTCACCAAGAACGGGGTGGAACCATTGCCGACAGAGGACGAGAACTGCACGCTCATAGAAGTGACCGAAGAAGAGGTTGAGAATTCGGTCAAGCACATCCCAAGCTTGGCCACTGTGGTGAGTGAGACCCAAGTGCTGCTTGTGGGTTGGATATGCCTGATTCAAAAGGGCACGTCTAACCAACCTATTTTTAAAATCTGCTCCAAGTGCCAGCGAGCCTTATTGGCTGAATTTGCAGGTCACAGTGCGCCAGGTGTGGAGAACTTTTGGCCCTCCTGTCTTGCCAAACTACAACTTCCACCAGCCCAAGCAAGCATGGCCAGGGGCTAAGGATGATGGGAGTTGAAGTTCAGCAAAATGGGGAGGGCCACAAGGTTCTTCATACCCTGCCGTAAGTTATAACCCAAGGATGGCTAACCTTTTGAGGGCTGAGGGTCACATTGACCCTTCTTTCTCACGCTTCCCAAAGCAGAAGCTTCTTTTCCCCTTTATTCCCCCCCCCGACCCCCACTCCCAAATATGCTGTCGCTGTGGGAAGGGGGTGAGCACAGCTGCAGGGAGTGAGGAACAGAGAGAATTTCTTTGGGGATTTCCCCCCCTTTGTTTTCCTCCCTGCTGGTGGTGGCAGGAAGGCTTGTGCAGACCCCCCCCCAATGCTGATCCTTTCAACCTCTGACCCATATGCACTAGGTGGGAGAAGCAATTTGCACTGAATGGAAGCCCCGTCCCCCTCCTTGAGCAAGGAAGTTGGGGGCGCACCTTGTTCCAGCAAAGGAGAAATAGGGAGCCCCCTTTAAGCTCCCACCTGGTTTTTACCAAGCCCCCACCTGACTTCATGTGGAGTATCTAGGCATAGGTCGAGTGGGGGTGGCTTCCCCAAAAGGCCTGGTGGGTCAAGTTTGGCCTGTAGGCCAAAGGGTCTCCTCGACTGATGCAGAATGAGGAGGAATACTGGACAGTATCACTTCAGATTGTGGGGAGGGGGGTCCATGTTTCTGAGTCCTCCTCCTCCTGCATGTAGCTTGCTAGTACAGTGGTAACTCATATTGCGAATGGGATCCGTTCCGGAGGCCTGTTCACAACATGAAAAGCCCGCAAACTAAAGCACCGTATCTGCGCAGGTGCGCAGCATGATTGGCGCTTGTGCGAAGTGCGATTTAGTGCTACTGTGCATGCACGGGCAGCGAAACCCGGAAGTAACCCTTTCCGGTCCTTCCGGTTGGCCGTGGGACGCAACCTGAAAAAGCTTAACATGAAGCAAACATAACGTAAGGTATGACTGTATAACACTGGAAAAGCTATCTGTAGCCTTTGCCTGGAATGAGCTAGTTTTAAAAAGCCTCTCTCCTTGCATTAAGCTAACACATCAGAAAGAAATTTCATGTAGGCCTTTCCCTGAGGTGCTAGCTAACTGGATGCAGTCAACCCCTGCCCCCCTCAGATGTCTTGGGATTGTAGTCCAAACTGTCTGGGGGCTGCCATGTTGATGAAGGCGGCACCATATAAATACAGAAATGCCGGGTAATAGTAAAACAATCATAATCTTCTCTTTCAGATCCTGGTAAAATCAATGATCAGGAAAAGATCTTTTGGGAACCCGTTTGAGGGGAGTAGAAGAGAAGAGCGATCCCTTTCTGCGCCAGGGAATCTGTTGACGTAAGTCTCTGACGCAGGAGCCTTGAGCTGTGGAGAAGGGCAAGAGTTTTCCAAATGTGCTGTGGAATTTCCCTGGAAGTTAGGGGTGCTCAACAATACCTAACATACAGGCCCAGCCCTGCCATTAAACAAACTTGAGGTATGTGTGTGTGTGTGTGTGTGTGTGTGTGAGCAGAAGACAGCAGTTTCATATATATTTAATGGAATATTAATTGTGTTTCACTATAGGGAGTGTGGAAGAGTAACCTTGCTTCCCTTGGAAACTTTGCACTTTGACTTTTGGATGATGCCTTTTGCTGCTCCACCTCAGGCGGCAAACTATTTTGAGCCAGCCTTGTCAATAAAAGATGGCGTTGACTGTCTTCCCCTTCAGTGTGCAGCCATAACATGGGAGGTTATGATCTGAGGTGCTCACCTCATGTAGAAACATGGCTGAGTCTCGTGACATGCCTGTCCAGGAGCCTGTGTGAACTACAGCTGTTCACCAGAACATATTTTTATTAATATATTTATTTTTGTATATGCCACCCATTGTAGAAAAGTGTGTCTGAATTGAAAAGTTTTTACTTGGTGTCTGAAAGCATGGGCAGGGGGCTATCCAAATTTTTTAAGGCAAGGTTTTCCATAAGTGTGGTGCCCATGCATAGAAGGCCCTGTCCTCATGTCCACCAGCTACATCTCAGATTCAGGTAAAGAAACATAGCAAGAGCCTCTGTGAAGGACAAGGCGAGAGGGCAAGTGCTTATTGAGCTTTAAATGGACCACTGGGAGACTTTGGTGTTTAACACACTGGTGGCTTGAACCCACCACTGGAAGGTGGGTCTCTCCTGCAGCAGCACCAGCTTTGGGAAAGGCAGGTGCAGGGTTGTTGTTGTTGTTGTTGTTTTAAGAGGTGGAGAAAAGCAATGTAAAAGAAGATGGGCTTGCTTTATTTTTAAGAACTTCTGTAGAAAAGGAAATTGTGGGGGCTGGCTGCTGGTCACAGAGTGATGGTGGAGGCAGCACTTTCCAAAAAGTGCAGGGGCTGAGCTGTCTACTTTTGTAGCTTTCTATTCACAGACACAGGGGATGCGGGTGGCGCTGTGGGTTAAACCACAGAGCCTAGGACTTGCCGATCAGAAGGTCAGCGGTTCGAATCCCCGCGACGGGGTGAGCTCCCGTTGCTCGGTCCCTGCTCCTGCCAACCTAGCAGTTCGAAAGCACGTCAAAGTGCAAGTAGATAAATAGGTACCACTCTGGCAGGAAGGTAAACGGCGTTTCCGTGCACTGCTCTGGTTCGCCAGAAGCGGCTTAGTCATGCTGGCCACATTGTTGTACGCCGGCTCCCTCGGCCAATAAAGCGAGATGAGCGCCGCAACCCCAGAGTTGGCCACAACTGGACCTAATGGTCAGGGGTCCCTTTACCTTTACCTATTCACAGACGCAGGTGGCGCTGTGGTCTAAACCACTGAGCCTATGGCTTGCCGATCGGAAGGTCAGCGGTTTGAATCCCCGCAACGGGGTGAGCTCCCGTTGCTCGGTCCCAGCTCCTGCCAACCTAGCAGTTCAAAAGCACGCCCAAAAGTGCAAGTATCTTAATAGGTACCGCTATGGCGGGAAGGTAAATGGCGTTTCCGTTCACTGCTCTGGTTTCGGTGTTTCATTGTGCCAGAAGCAGCTTAGTCATGCTGGCCACATGACCTGGAAAAACTGTCTGCAGAGCAGACAAACGCGTTCGCAACTGGACTTAATTGTCAGGGGTCCTTTACATTTACCTTTATTCACTCTGAAGCCGAAGTGGCCAACCTACAGCCCACAGGCCATATACATCTCCCCCAAGTGTTTTCCCTTCCCCATAAGTCCTCCCCCAAATTTGACTTTCTTTCTTTATTTGTTTGTTTGCTTAGGATTTTAAAAAATAATAATTTATTTTTAAAATAATTTATTTTTAAATTTATTTAATTTATTGCTACTATGATGCCAAAATATTGTTGTGCCTCACAAGCACCTCCCCCCAATTTCCCTTCCTTCTTAGGGAAATGAATAATGAATGATAAAAATGATTTAAAATAGTGCAGAATAGCTGATGGGAAAACCCTTTTGTAAGGGCTGCCTTGAGTTCTGCCGCTCTGTCCATGCCTACACCCAAAGTATCCAGATTCTTTGGTCAGAGGAAGCTCAAGGGATTCGGGATAAATTAAGGGTTGCATAGTTTTCAAAGGGGTAGCTAAGAAGAAGGCAGTGAGAATTCATAGAAACATCTCTAAGCTTTTATTTTGCACCTTGTGAACTAGAAACTCTTGCAGGATCAGGCATCAGACTTCCCATACCCCAACCCATATAAATAAGGGACAAATAAGACTTGGGTTTTGGATCAAAACAAGCCACAACTTTATCGAATACAGATGAAAGAGGTTTGGCTTGGGCATGGGGAAATCTAAATATTTCTGGCCTGCCCGCTGGAAGTGACGCATGGTCAATCCAGGTGGGGGTTCCTAAGATCTGCATCCAAGAGGGTGACACCCCCCCAGGGGCCACCATCTGGGGGAGTTCCTTTGGCCCTGGCTCCCCCAGGGCATGCAGACATGGCCACTCCCCCCCGGATCCCTTTAAAGGGATACCCCAGTCTGGAGGGGCAGGCAGAGATGACAACCTCCCCTCCATCCAAAACCAAGGATTGCCCCAATGCCCAACCAGTTGTGACAATTGCTATGAGGTAGGCAAAACCATCGGGTCAGTGCCAATTAGCCCAGTGGGCAAATTCCCACCCAGCCCCTTGAAGGGTGGCGACCAGCGTAGCCACAGCAAAGTAATTGACTATCGGCTTAAACCGAGGGTGGGTGGGATAGGGAACAAACAGTCTGAGCCCCAGGTGTAGGACGCTTAAATGGGCAAGGGGTGGATCCGAGGGAAGCCCAGCGTCAGCTCCATTGGTGGCGCCCCTGGCACAGCCCAAGTCCCAGCCTGCGGCCCCATTTGCCAAAGCAGCGTGCAGGGTAGGATTCGGTTCCTGATAGGCGGAGGGGGTTCAGGAAGGGCACCGCAGTTTGAATTCCCATGTCAGTGTCCCAGTGAAGCCTCCTCTGTCCCGCAACGCCAGGGCACCAAAAGGGGTGAGCAGACTTGTTGTCTTTGGCAAAAGCTGAGATTTCTCAAACTACCAAATCCTGGGCCACAGCAGCAGGTCTTGGAGACATGCAGATTACGCAATGTTGTGCTTCTACTTCCGTTGCTCCATTTTATGGTTTGGTTTCTTTGAACTGTGTCTGGAAAGATCTGTACTTCTACGCAGCCAGTGCTGAGTCTGACAGTGGAGGACATTGCCGGATTTTGTGTGTGTGTGTGTGTTTGTGTGTATCTGAAGAAGTGTGCATGCACACAAAAGCTCATACCAATAACAAACTTAGTTGGTCTCTAAGGTGCTACTGGAAGGGTTTTTTTTTATTTTGTACGTATGGTTGTGTGTTCTCATATCCACTTCCTGTCCTTCTCCTTGACCCGCTGTCCCACGCCCCACCCCACAACTCCAGAAAAAACAAATCGGGAACTGTGAAATATTTCATCAGTCAAAGGTAAAGATCACAATTGTCTTGCTAGCTCCTTCTACCTGTTTGTCCGTTATGCAATGAACTGGAATCAAAGTCTCTGAGCTGCTGCATGTTGTCGTCAGTGGAAGGGAGAGCATGAAGCCAACTTCTTCTGACGCATGGAATGCTCTTGTTTTGGGGTTCCCTTTCTGAAATGTGTAGCATGATCGTGATTCGACAAAGACCCTTCCCCAACTAAGCAGTAGCACACAGCAGGATGCCGAGGTGGTGGGCTGTCAGCAGGGGTGTTTCAAAGCATTATTATTAATTTAGTCTGCTTCCAGGGCAGCTGGATGCCTTGCAAAGCACAGTGAACGTCTATCGCCTTCCATCTCAATTTGCCCAGAGGCACTCCATCCATTTATTGTGGGTCTCTGCTCTGAGCGCTTTATGTACCTAGCAATGCCCCTGGTTGTCGGGAAATATATATATATGCATGTGGCTGCCAGCAGAAACTTGACCGGTGCCAGCTCTTGGATTTCTTTGGTGCATTTTCAAAATACGGGCTGCAAAGGACTTCAATGTGTGTGCAGAGTCCATTCTCCTCTGTGGTGAGACACCCAGCCCAGAGAGGGTGTGCGTTCTCTTTAACTCTCAGTGTTCATACAGAGTGCTTTCTTTTCTACTCATGACTTGTCCTGACACTTTAAGGATGCAATTTGATCTATGCTGCTTGTAGTTATATGGCCATTGTAAGTATAATAAAATACACGAAAGCATAAGTGTGTACCATATATAAAAAATAACCGTAGAATTTATTGGGGTTGCTTTTAATTTTAGCTTGTTCATATTAACAAGGCACTGCAAACTATGGACAATTTGGTGCAAAATTCTCACTCAGGTTTTCTTTGCTGCAGTTGCAAACAGTGTCACTTCATAGGTTCTATATTCCTGTTCATCCGATAAGAGAAAAATCGCTACAGGCGGGATTCAACTAATGAGCCCCACTAGGGGAGGCGTGTACATATGCAAGGATTTCTGCTAATGCAAGAAGACTCCCCCCTCCTGCATGCAGCCCCATGCCTCTCAAACTCGGCTCAGGGGGGGGGCGGGAGGACCCCCACAACAGTGTGCAGGTACAGGAGAAGAGGGACTCTTCAATCTGGCAAGCTGAAATGCTTGTGCTGAGGAACAATGGTCATAGCCTTCATGGAATCTCTCCCATTTTCTTGAACTGGCCATCTGCTATAGCACTGCCTACCCAGGCCTGCTGCCCTGTAGAGGCTTGTCCCTCATCCCTGACCATTGCCCACACTGGAAGTTGGAGGGCAACAGGTTGTTGAAGGCTGATTATTTATTCTTACTTTTTCATTTCACCAATTTTTATCTTGCTTAACACTGTAGTTCTCTAACCATGAAACCAGAAAAAGCTTACTTTAAATGCCTGCTGAGCTTTACCAAAAAAAGACACTCTTTAGTAAGTGCCAGACACTCAACATTGAGGGGGCCTGTCTGATCTCAGCTGAGGGAGAATTCCACAGCAGGGAGCCCCCTGAAGGCACAGCTGTTGGTGGATGCAAGCCAAACATCAGGACCACGGGGACCACGCTCAGTGACTTCCCTTGAAGACCTCAGTGATCAGGCAGGGATCAAACTGTCCTTGGAGTTGGCAACACCCAGTTGGCAAGGGCCTTGTGAGTTAATTCAACAGCCTTGAACTTGGCCCAGTAGCGAGTTCCTAAATACTGGGGTTGTTTGATGCTGGTGGTCCAGCTCTGCCCAGAGTCTGGCTGCAGCATTTTACACCAGCCAGAGCTTCCAGACCGGGCCAATTGCAACAATCGAGCCTTGAGGTTACTAATGCATGACTCACCAGGGACAGGCTATCCCCATTCAAGAGTGACTGTAGTTGGTGTACCAGCCATAACTGGTAGGAGGCACTCTTAGCCACTGAAGCTACATGAGCCTCAAGCAACAAAGATGGATGCAGGAGCACCCCACCACCACAAACCACACACCTGTCCTAGCAGAGGCACCTGTGCAATCACTGCCCACCTGAACCTCCATTAGCATATATCAAAGCTGTCCTGGAGCCATAGAAATGGCGTCAGGTGCAGTTGGAAGATGTGTAGCCTATTTTCTCTCTCCCTTCTCATTTGACCTTGGAGGAAAAAAATGTTGTATGGTTTTTAACACGTTTGTTCTTCATTTTTTTTAAAGCAGGAAGCAAAACAGCGAAGACAACCTTAAGAGCATCAGTGACCTGCCAAATGTGGGCGAGAATGAACTGCTTTCCTGAAAGCTGCCATTCTGGTTGGAGCGCACCCTCTGGTCCCATCCCGACTCCCCACCCCCTGACTCCGTTACAAAGCATGTGTCCATGGAGGGAGAAGCCTGTGGAGCCCAGGGCGATCCAACCAGCATTCTGTGAGGCTGGTAACCATATAGATGCTGAATGTAGAACTTTTTGTGGCAGCATGCTGTACAAAACAGAATCCGTCCAGCCGCCGTAAATAAGGACCATCACAGGATCATGTCTGATATCAAAATACGAGGACCTCAAACCGGCCTGCTCCTGGGCTTCATCTGAATGGAGCGATGTCAGAGCTCGTCATACTGATTTTGCGAAAATCAGCCAAACTATCAACCTCATTTAGGGTGGGGAGAAACTCCCAGGTCAAATATTTCATGAAGAAAATGGTCGGTATTTTAAAAGCGTGTTGAAAGTGGGCAGCTAAGTGTGATGCTTTTGATCAAGCGGAGATTGTGTTTGCATCCTTCCAGTAACATACATCTTTCTCTTTTTTGCTTTGGTGTTTACTATACATACATTTTTTGTATTGATATTTTTTACTGCATGGAAACCAAACAGAAATGCCACATCGGGGTTTTCGGTGATGCTTGGGCTTTTGTGATTAGAGATTATTCACAGCTGCATTTGAGAGTGGTTTGCCTTGATTTCATTTGACCATCCTCAAGACCATAGCAGTGGTGTGGTTTGTGGGGTTTTGAGTGCTCCAGACATACAAGGCAGACAGAGCCCTTTCTTTTTGAGGGGCTGTGTGTGCCAGAAGAACCCATAGAGTGCTCGACTTCAGTACAATCATGCTCAAGCACAAATTTGAAAACATGCACTGCTGAGTGAAAACGATATTGTATCTAGCTGATGAAGTGATAACAAGAATTTCCTGCTAGCAGTTTTACTTGATCTCTGTTATCTATATGGGCATGTACAAAAAATAATAATCAGGATTTTTAAAATAATAATTATAATCCAACACTTCCTGTTATGTAACATGGTTTAATACATTTTAACAGAATAACAGATAGCTTCTGCAGTTTTTGAATACAATCCAATGAATTTTACTGAAATATATAGATTTTGCTGCTAACGAATATTTCAATTAGCTTGTAAGCAGAAGTAGCTGTTTTGTGCTTTTTTTGTACCTGAAAAATGTGTCATTGTCCCCATCTTTAGAATGGGACCAGCACCTGCATCCCTGTGCTCCGATAGCCACTAGCTGAGGAAACAAAAGGACCAGGGAATGAAAGGCTAAGCTCATGCATAATTTCCACCCACCCTCACTATTCTTGCCTTTGCTGGAGTATACAAGTTGCTAGAATAGTTTTGCCATGTCAGTAAAATCTGTAATTTTAAAAGCAGCTGGCAGAATTGCATGTTTGGATGCTACCATATTTCTTGGAGAGAAAACAACCAGCACCAAAAAATTCATCTACTCATCAGAATCTATACCCCTGACATGCTAGCTTTCTGTGGACTAAAGAGTTTCCAGTAGTGATGCTTTCAGAGATGCAGTCTTTCTTTCACTCCAAACCCTCACATTGTAAAATTGACCCAATCCTGGGATGGTTGCTGAGCATGGAGCTTGCCTCCGAGAGCCTCCCTCAAACCCAAATGGGGCCTGCCTACATCTCCCAGTTGGAGGCAGAGCCACAAAATGCATGATCTGTTGAAAGAAGTAAACTGTTGCTGCAGCAACCATCAGGCCTCTCTCTCTGCTGTTTGTCTTGCAATCAGGTACCACTTCGTAGCCCCAGTTAATCTATTTGTTTTGGGTGGGCTTAAGTGGCTGATGGCTTTACTTTCACCGTTCCTTCTACTCTGCTCCCAGTGTAAAAGCTCTGTTTACATGGCAGCAGCATCTTAGGTCATCCTGCAGTCTGTGTGTCCACATTATTTGCTGTTCTACTTAAGCTTTCCATTGTACTTCTGCCCTCTGGCAGGCTGGTGCTGGAGTTGTAGTCCAAAACATCTGGAGGACACCAGCTTGTCGGAGAAGGAGGTACCTTAATGCTTAATTTCTCTTCATGACGAGCACTGGAGTCAAAACGTTGAAGGAGGAAGGGAATCTGCTGCCTGTTTGCGTAGAACTAAATGGCAGACTTCCTGGGTTATTGTGGTTTATCATGAGTACGGCGTGGGCTCCTTTATGCGTCCCATCCTCTCCAGTTTTGAAGCCCCACCCACTCAACACAACCAGGAGAAATGTGTAATTAATTACCATCAATTTATTAATCACCTTCTAAATAACTGTCCCGAGGCGATTTACTCAAAAGTTAGTTAAAAACACAAAGAAGAGCAAATGCATTTAAAACAAGACTGAAAAACTAACGATGTAAACACTTGTGATAAAGACCTATGAATCCATCTGGGGAAGCCTGCAAGCACAAAATGTCTTCCAGGGGCAGATAGTAGGGGGTTGTTTAGTAGTTGTGGGTTGTTGTTAGGGAGGAACCATGTAATTCCCTGGTTTGAAAGTAACGGGAATCCCAGAGAAAGAGCCATCAGGCAGCCTGTATTAGCATCCCACGTCTCCTCATTAAACTTTGAGATGCCAAAAAATGTGTCTCAGGGGTTGCCAAGTGTTTTATGGGCCAGCAAGACAGTCACAAAATGGTTGCTGTGTGGGTATGTGGTGTAACATAAAATGGCTGCCTTGTTTAACGAAACGGGAAAAGAGACAAGAGCACAAAATGGGCCAGACATGCCCACTGCTCAGAACAGCTGGGAGGGGAGGTGTTCAGTCCTGGCGCTGGATGAAATGGGGGCATGTTCCAAGTGTAGGAGGAGGCAAGCCAGCACAAACAGGGACTGGGCAGGAAGAGCAAACCACCACCTGTGTGAAGGGATCTTTACCGGGCTCTTTCTCATAGGTGCCATCGGCTGAACTGACAGCGCATTGGTGCCCACAGGAAGTGCTTGGGAGCTTGCACATGTGATTTAATTTATTCCATCGGTGCTCTCTGGCCTGCCTTTGTTCTAGACGAGCTGCGGTCTTGTGCAGCCCTTGCACTTGCTCAGGCATTCTCTGAGAGGGTTGGACTCAGCCCCTCGCACCATGCTTGCTGCGCTGAGATGCGCAGTTGGCTTGGCAGCAATAACCACAGACCTTGGCTAAGGCCTGCTCACTGCTCAGGAATAGCCTCTTGGCCGTTTGCTCCCAAGGCAGGACTAGCTGCCTCCACAGAGGCACAGAATAGGGGAAGGTCCCTTTGCTATTGGCAGAATTCCCTTCCCGTGGAGACTAACCAAAGTCTGAGGTTGAGCGTCTTCCAGAAACATCTACAGCAGACATTTGAATGTGCTGGGCTTTTAATGGTAAAAATGGACGGTACAAATGAGTGGCATTAATCTTTGTGGGTCTGTGGGAACCTGTGGACCTCCAGATGGTGCTGAACTCCATCAGACCCAGCCAGTGTAGTCAGGGCATGTCCAACAGCACTGAGAGGCCACAGCTGTCTTAGCCTTATAAAAAAAAGGTGCTCCAGAGCTTGGAATGGGTTCAAGCTGTAAAGCAATTCATTTTGTTAAAAAAGCAACAGCTTAGATTCCAGTGTTGAGAAGAAAAGTGTGTGAACAATGCTAAATTATCGTCTTCAGGTGCAATTCATGCTTTTTATGCCCATGTAACCAGGAATGCTAGGCTCTAAAAGCATATTTTATTACAGGGCTGCTGCATCTATGGCTACAGAACTGTAACTCCTGGCGGCATCGCCTTGTCCAAGCTCTATAATATTGCTGCTTTTTATATTGTTGAATGACCAAGGCTTGTATTATTATTTTTAATTTTTGTTCCTGCCTATGTCCTTTCTAAGGGACGCGGGTGGCGCTGTGGGTAAAACCTCAGCACCTAGGACTTGCCGATCATATGGTCGGCGGTTCGAATCCCCGTGGTGGGGTGCGCTCCCGTAGTTCGGTCCCAGCGCCTGCCAACCTAGCAGTTCGAAAGCACCCCCAGGTGCAAGTAGATAAATAGGGACCGCTTACTAGCGGGAAGGTAAACGGCGTTTCCGTGTGCGGCTCTGGCTCGCCAGAGTAGCTTCGTCACACTGGCCACATGACCCAGAAGTGTCTGCGGACAGCGCTGGCTCCCGGCCTATAGAGTGAGGTGAGCGCACAACCCTAGAGTCTGGCAAGACTGGCCCGTATGGGCAGGGGTACCTTTACCTTATGTCCTTTCTACTACACTTCTACTTTTATCAAGCGTTTTAAACATTATGTATTTATCACTTAAATGACCTCTTAAAAAAACAACACAGACCCAACAAGGAATTGGCAAGCACTTTTCCAGGAGACTTTCAGTATTCAAGCTGAAATAAAAATGAGGGGGAATGATAAATCCAGCCTCTAGGGGTTTCATTATGTTGGTTTTGCAAAAGAGAGGGAGAGAGAATACATTTACCTGTAGCTTAAGGACATCCCAGAAAGGTCCACAAGATGCCTTGGCTATCCCTCACCTGTCCTACATCAGGGTCACGATATAATGCAAGCACCTTCCCAGCCTGGTGCCCTCCAGATATTTGGACTCCCACCACTTCTAGCCAGCACAGGATTGTAAGGGCAGGATGTAAGTATTTTAAAATAAATACATTTTGCAGATTGCAGCATTTCTATCTCCCCTTTCTGCAGAGGTCTGACTTTTTCACTAAATGCAGATAAACAAGTTCTGAAACAACAGTTTTTGAAACACAGACGATTGCACCTTGATTCCACCACACACAGTCTCCAATCTATTCTGCTAGCATTTACTTTGCACAGAATTAAAATTGTGTGAATATTCAGTTGCAGCTCTGCATTCCAGGCTACCCATACAGGAAGGAGGCACAAGAAGATGAAAGTTTCCAATAGCTTTATTTTCTCCACAAAATAGATCTCTCCCCTAAAATCCCGTCCCCCCCCATTCACATTAACCAACTTTTCTTTTTGCTCCCATGTAATCTAGACAGGGGAAAAGTGCAAGGACGTACAGATTTACTTCTTTTTGACCTATATCCATTCCTTGAGTTTGGAATTGAATTCTAAAGGACAAGAATTAAGGAAAGTGCAAAGGGAAAGGACTGGCAGTATGCCCTCTAGTCCACAGGTCAGAGCGCCCTCCTTGCCCCATGGAATGCTGGGGATTCTGTCGCCCGCTAAGAATAGGAACTGGGATCTGTGCAAGGAAGGCAGCAGAAGACCTATCTTGTTTAAATCCAGCAAAGATGGGGGGGGATGAAATGAAGAGGAACCAGGGCGGAAGGGGGCAGAAAGGGAAGGAATCCTACCCAGAAGCAACTTGGGGGAAGACAGGCCACTTGCTTTTTCCATTGCCACAACTTTAGGAGGCCCTCAAAATTACCCCAGACTATCCAGGGCTCTGCAGGATCCCCAAAATATCTTCCCCCACCCCAGCAAAAATAACTTTCACAGAAAGTGGTTATCATTATTTGCAGAATATCACAATCTTTACATTCCCTTTATCAGGGCATCCATACTGGAAGCAAGGCAGAACAGAATAATAATTTATGTGGGTTTCTGTTCCCCTTCTGTTCCCCTTCACAGCCTGTGCATGTGTGAAATTCATTGGACATCAGCACTTTGGGTTGGTCATCGGATGCGACAGCCTTCCTGGGTTTCTCCCTGGGAGCCATAGGATGAATTGGCTTCCTATGAAAGAAGAGGGTGAAGTCAGTGCAAAAACAACAAGAAGACACAAGACAGATTCTCAGGCTCGCATCCTGGCTAACATTGCCCAAAGGGAAATTTCCCAAGCAAACTAGCCTGCAAGGTTCATTGAATTGTAGAATCTTAGAATTGGAAGGGATCCCAAGGGTCATCTAGTCCATAGCCGTCAACTTTCAGATTTGAAAATAAGGGATCAGCAGCCTCACCTGTCCCGGGGACAGTCTATGGGATATCTAACAATCTGGGGAAGCAACGAGAAATGGCGCTGGGATAAGGGAATTTCCCGCCAAAAAAGGGAAGGTTGACAGCTATGATCTAGTCCAACCCCCTGCAATGCAGGAATGACCCCTACAAGGTTCTACAGGAGCTGCACTTGCTAAGGCAAAGCAACACACTTTCAAAAAGCCCAACCAAACTTTTCTAATAAGCTGGCAAAGGTTGCCAGTAAGGCAATGAACCAAGCCCTCTTCCCCCTACTGTGCTCCAAACTGATCAAGGTGCGCTATTGTGATTTTGGGCTTCCCAGAGGCATCTGGTTGGCCACTCTGAAAACCACATGCTAGACTTGATGGACCTTTGGCCTGTTCGTCTCTAAAAACAATTTGCTGTAATCTAGCAACACGATACGATACAATAATTTTTATTGTCATTGTCCCATACAGCACAACGAAATTGAAAAAATCTACATCAGACATTCAAAAACCAACAAGCCTGCTATCCCAGCCTGGTTAGCCCCTAAAAATGTATCTTTACTATGCCTTATAAAATGCAAGCAGCTGAAATCAAGCCCTTTTTAAAATTAAGAACACCCACCACAAGTCTATCTACTTTATGGTAAATCTTCATTCCCCATGAGAAGCTAGATAGCTCTAGCCTAATATATTAGAATGATATTTATCTGTAGGAGCAGATATTGATCAATAGGATGATGGGAGCATCTGAAGGGCAACAGGTTCCCCAGCTATAAAGGAAAAGAAAGTGATTAACATCCAATTAAGCCACAGGGCCCTTTGGCCAGAAACCAAGGTGGGAATTTGGTATTAGAATCATAGAATCATAGAGTTGGAAGAGACCACAAGGGCCATTGAGTCCAACCCCCTGCCAAGCAGGAAAGACCATCAGAGCACTCCTGACATATGGTTGTCAAGCCTCTGCTTAAAGACCTCCAAAGAAGGAGACTCCACCACACTCCTTGGCAGCAAATTCCACTGTCGAACAGCTCTTACTGTCAGGAAGTTCTTCCTAATGTTTAGTGGAATCTTCTTTCTTGTAGTTTGGATCCATTGCTCCATGTCCGCTTCTCTGGAGCAGCAGAAAACAACCTTTCTCCCTCTCTATATGACATCCTTTTATATATTTGAACATGGCTATCATATCACCCCTTAACCTCCTCTTCTCCAGGCTAAACATGCCCAGCTCCCTTAGCCGTTCCTCATAAGGCATCGTTTCCAGACCTTTGACCATTTTGGTTGCCCTCCTCTGGACACGTTCCAGTTTGTCAGTGTCCTTCTTGAACTGTGGTGCCCAGAACTGGACACAGTACTCCAGGTGAGGTCTGACCAGAGCAGAATACAGTGGCACTATTACTTCCCTTGATCTAGATGCTATACTCCTATTGATGCAGCCCAGAATTGCATTGGCTTTTTAGCTGCCACATACACTGGGGAGTGTCGGGGCACACAATGCGCCTCCTCCCCTCACTAGTATCCGCCCCGGAGCCGCGGCAAAGGTGTAAAAGAGCCACATGCGGCTCCGGAGCCGAGGGTTGCTGACCCCTGGTCTAGTTATATGGTGGCACCAAGAATTGTTAGCAATCCTTAATATAGTTTCCAAGCTTCTTTTAGGGGAAGAAAGAATGGATGTACCACATCCATATTTATTCTTTTCCTTCTGGAAAGGCAGAGAGAGAGAGAGATGGAAGGAAGAAGAAACAGATACAAAGAGAGAAAACTATGGGAGCAAATCCTAACACAAAGCAAACATACCAAGTCATAGTCTTCAACATATTTGTATTTCTTCTCTCTATAATAATATTTTTTCTTCATGAAATACAGGACAATGATATCACAGAGGACTGTCGCCTAGTTGAGATTCAAAGGCAAAGAAGAGATTTTACTTATTTTCAAATGTTGAAGTTTCTTCTAACACCTTATTCAAAGGAAACCAGCTGTGAGGGAGAATAAAGAGCTTACCACACCAAACAGGGCTAAGCCAGATCCAATGTTAATCATCGTAGGAATGATATCAAATTTTCCTGCCTAAAAAACACACAGATATACACAAGTTATTCACAAGTCCTTTTTCTGATAGCTCTCCTATTCATTTAAGGCAACTTTCCACCGACAGGTGGTGTTGGACTCCAATTCCCATCAGCCCCAGCCAGTATGGGCACTGGTCAGGAACAACGGGAGTTGGAGTCCAACATTATCTGGGAAGGGCACCACGTTGGGGAAGGCCGGCTTCATGGCATTTGTTTGTAAGAAAAGGATGGCCGTTCTGTGACTGTCTGAATTGTCTCATGTCTGTGGTGGTGAAACCTCCAGCACTAACTGGCGCAACAGAACATTCAACAACTCAGGAAGACAAAGATGTTGGACACACACAAAAATTCACAGTTTCTATGAAAGAGAAAGAAATGAGTGGAGGAGGCAGGTGGACATACTTAAACCAACAACTAGAAATGTGGTCACACGTCACAGAATGTATTTAAAAGTTGGGTCCCAAAAAGTTGAGGACAGCAGAATTATTCTGACTGGTAGCAGGTCAAAGGTCTTGGGTACTCTTGCTGGAAATGCCAGGGCTCAAACATGGGGCCGTCTGTTAAATGAAATTTGGGTTCCCTCTCCCCCTCTTAAGGAAACAAAGCGGAGGGGTGCCATGCATGCCTGGTGCCATCTGAGGGTCCCCGCAGCCACGCCAAACTCAGAGGCAGCTCGCCTCCTTATGCCCTTTGCAAAAGCAGGTAGCTACCTTGCCAAACACCATGATATCAAAGCGGATTCCATAGGCCTTGATGAGCGTCCGGGAGTCTCTGCCACCAGCATTCTTGTAATATTTAGCAAATCTGTTTGGGAAAAGGAAAAGGAGAGGTGGGTCTTGTCCTCTGGGCAGCCCAGGACCTCCATAAACACTGCCCAGGCTTGTGCCCCAGGGAGGTCACGTAAGTGCTGCTAACACAGTGGTTTGACTTCACCCCTAGAGGCGCACTCCATTGTCTCTCGAGACAGATGGATGCAAACAACTGCAAATCTTCAGGGATCTCATAACCCAGTTAGAAATCCTGGTGTGTCTGCTCCAGAGCTGCTGCACACACACATTCATGTGGGTCACTGGTCCAGAGCAACTGGTCTCCACTGGTGCTGTGCATCAAGTGAAAGTGCTCACAAGCATCACAGTAAAACCAGTACAATTAAAAATCAACAGTGTAAGCCAACTCTTCCAACAAATAATCACACCTAAACAAACACACTCTTCACCTGCTCCAGACATCAGACCCTGCACCAAAAGAGTTGGACTTGGGTAGAGGCTATACCATGGTGGGTTCCCAGACCTGGTTACCCCAAACCACCCTACCTGAAATTGTATCCTGGAGAGACGGTGTGGTCAGAATCCTTGTTGTCGATACGACGGAAGGTGTACTTTGGCAAACAATAAGAGGCAGCCTTGTCCAAATTACAGTTCCAGCTGATCTGCAGCCCCATCACTCCACCCTGTAGAAACCAAAACAGTGCATTCAATTTAAATTCAAACAGACCTCATATGGGACATAATTCATTTTTTCCCCTATGGTCACGGATGCAATTGTCTTTTACGGCAGACCATGCACAAAATTTTCTAGAGTCTAGTGTACACTGCATCCACCATAACCCAAGTCAATTTTGGTACAAAAAAAGAGTGAGGGACAAGTTTCTAGGTCTCATTGATGCCAAAACACATTGCACCATAAAATGCAGTTATTTATTGCAATTATTTACACCCCACTTTTCAGGATACAAATCCTTCCCATGTGGTTTATGAACAATATAATCTCAATGCACAATCTCAAAATATAATAAAGCTGCTGTCATTTGTCTCCGTCCGCCAGTTTGCCTGAGTGTTCTGCATGCAGCTGTAAGGCTTGAGTCTAGAAGCAAAGTTTTACGTTTTTAAAACACTCTGACGAAATCTAAATGGAAGGGGTACTTGCAGACTGACATAATTGTAAAGGTTTTTCTACAGCTTGTTTCAAATGTTCAAAGCACATTAACGTGTTCTCACAATGATTATTCCAATAGCCCTGTAAGTTTGGTCAGTAATATTATCCCAATATTACAGATTGGAAGACTGAGGCCTTAAAGAACAGCACAGCTTGCATAAATCCACCTCGGCAAGTGAAGAGCAGTTCTGAATGGGACACTTTTAAGTTTACACTTTGCACGGCTGAACCAAGTTGAGGCGTTAGCAAAAAGAGCCTTTTGGAAATGCAACGGGCAAATGCGACTAGAAGCAAAGCTCATTGTTTGAAAGAGGCCTTGATCTTGAGAAGATAGCAAGCCCAAACAAGGAAAGTCAAATATTTGCTCCATTAATCGCATTCCTTATAATGTGCATCTGCCAAAGAGCACCATTTGTACAAACTGTTACCCAGCTGCCCTTGTTCAAATATGCTGGATACTCAAGAGGAGGGGGAAGAGGTTGGAAACAAACATTAAACAGGACACAAAGGCTCTCGGGGTGCAGCTGCCGCCTTGTGGGGCTTGCTCAGAAGTGGACTCACAGGGCAGCTGCCCCACAGGCTTCCCACTCTCATTGCGGATCAACCCCCCCCATCACGCAGGCCGACCCCACACTGCCACAAGGAGGGTGAGTCCCAAACCCCATCCTGAGGCACAGAACACACGGGGGCTTCTGACAGGAGAGGCTGACACAGAGAGGCCCATGTGCCCCCTCCCCACCTGAAGAGATGCTGGGTCGAGGGTCTTCTTGGCAGCCCACAAGCGAGGCATAAAGCAACTGTTCTCCTGCACGGGAGGCTCCCAGATTCTGGTGTCGCAGCTAACGGCCTTTGCACAGCAGACTGCATTCCATGGTCAGTTTTGCTTATCATCCAGGCTATTATCACGGTGCAAGGACATGAGAAAGCACTGGAAGAGCCTGTGGAGTGGAGCTGATAGCAAGTGGGGCCTGGGCAGGGGAGGGGTCTGTGGCCTGGCCAGAGCCCCAGGGGCCAGTGGAAGGAGCACCTATGTCTCACAGCCCAAGTTAACAATACATGCTATGTGCATATAGAAAATTTATCTTATCTTTAAAGGAAGATAAATCTAAGTATTTTTTTTTAAAAAATCTAATTCGCAACTCTTGCACTCGGCTCCAGATTGGATTATCACTCTTCCCTTCCTGTCATATTTTCCCACCACAGATTCTAACCAACCTCAACAGCCATCTCTTGGAAATTCTGACCAGCAGATTCAACCACATCACGGAGGCGGAAAATGGGGCAAAAGGGGTCCGTTTTGGCATTGTATTTGCAGTTCTTGAGGTATGATTTACTTATGTTGGGGAGGATGTTTCGCCTGGGTGGGGAAGAAGGGAGAGATTCCAGAGTTAAGGTCATCTGGGGAACTCACTGGGTGATTTACCTATTAAATTTATATCATGCCCTTCCGCCCAAAGGGTGCACCTTCCTGTATACTGAACTAGAAACACCTGCCTTGCCCACTCCACATAAAGATGTTGTTGTCTAGGAAAAGGGGGGGGTTTATCTCTGGCAAGCTTTTGAAATGAGAGAATGAGCATAAGTCATCTCTATTCATTCTGCAAACTTAATCCTGGCTGAAAGCCGCTGCTGTTCCACAATGCCAGTGTTAGGAGAAGGGCAGCGGCTCATGCCAAAAGTCCAAGGTTCAATCCCTGGCATCTGCAGGCAGGGCTAGAGAAAGATTCCCCACCTGAAACCATGGGGAGCCATAGCTAGTCAGTGTAGACAGATGGACCAGTGAGCCTGGCTTGGTATAAGGCCGCTTACTGCAGTCCTAAGAAAAGTAGATGCAGCACCAGCAAACAATGGCAGTGAGGAAAGCGGCTCGTGGGAGGAAGGGTCTCCCACTGACAGGGTCTTGCCCAAGGGAACCCGGAAACCTAGAGCCAGTGCCACCCACCGGCATCTCCCATCCCACCCTGCCACCTCCATGCTTGACAAAGCACAGCCAAATTCTTCAGTGCCGTGATTTTATATTGTGACACAAATAATACAAGGACTGATTCTTTTTCCTGCTAGCACAAGAACCCAACAACTTGTGATTAATGCTCCAGTGAGCGCAGCCCAAAGACGTTAGTGATGGGGGAGGATGTATACGCACTTAGTGAAGTTGAACTTGGGGTACCAGATGTTGTTCTTTACCAGGAGGGTGAAGTTTGCAGCATTATGTAGGAAAGCTGGTCTGGAGGAGATGGAGAAAGGACCAGGGGATGGGATGGGGCAGGGAGGAGAAAGAGAATGTCTCAGTGGAAACATGCGATTTCACTTTATGCCTGACAATCGTGGCTAGCAACAAGGCAACGATCCAACAATCTCACTTCAAAAAGGTGGTCTGGCCCCCCATAGGTCAGTGCACACTTTGCACACATAACACCCCAAATTCACTCAGGCAGGGGTGATATCCAAAGAGGGTGACCTCGGGTAAAGCCTTCCATTTATAGCGCTGCAAGGCTGCCCATCCCCAGTGTCCCCTGATTGGCCCATTCAAACAAGCCTTTCTGCCCATGCCAGTGTGGCCAGAGGGGGGAATGCTGAGCGTCCCACCCACGGCTATGGGGGAAGGAAACAATGGCCTTTGGGACCAGGCCACAGCCGTGCCAAACCAATAAACGCTGCTTCCCTGAAGTCCTGGGAAAGAAAAGGCCGTCAACACCATTGAGCTCCAAAAGACGTCTGAGCGTAGCTACCTGGTGGAAGTATCTCAGCACCTAGCCATGGTTGGGTTTTTTAAAAAGCAACTTGTTATTTTCCCTCCCGCAAGACACTCACTTGGGAACATGTTCATCATCCTCCACTGGACACCAGGCAAAGACCTGACAGGTTTTCTCGGTGGAGTTTCTGTATGCAACACACTTCCCAGTCTGGACACCTGAAAGGATACCAAGAGCGTCCTCATCAAACTGTTATGCTAGCAAGAACTATGCTGCCTCAGGACTCTCCTTCCTTGGAAGTTTTTATGCAGAGGTTAGATGGCCTCCTGTCACGGATGCTTTAACCGCAGATTCCTGCATTCTAGGGGGTTGGACTAGATGACCCTTGGGTTCCTTCCAACTCGATGATTCTATGATTCTGAGTTTTTCTGCTGCCACATGTGTAAGTCAGGCTTCAGACCTAACATCTTCCTATGAAAGGTAGGCCAGAACCACTCTCTTCTTGCAGAGGGCGGTGATGGTGTTTTAGGCTGAGAGAAAATGGCTTGCCATCAGGGAAGTGTGGGGAATTAGAGGGCAGCAGCACCCAACTGAGTAATCAGCATTCCTCCCCTCCAAAACCCATAACAAGTATCTACAGATGAAGTCAATCACACCATTACACAATATCCTTGAAATCTGCAAGATACAGTTCCCGCTTAGAAATGCTGCCCTGTCTATATGTTTGCAGATCTCAAGGTCAAGATTTTATCAAAAAAAGTGAGCAAAATGATTAGCAGGCACAAAGAAGACCACACCAGCTCCTACCATTGCTGTGTGTCCCAACGTATCCTTCCGTGCAGTTTTCGCTAGAATGGCACCGTGTGGTTTTATCTGGAAACTGGAGAGGAAGAAGATGGTGCAGATAAACGGAAAGGCAGTGCTTGCCATGCCCTCTCCCTCCACCCCGTGGCCTCCAAAACTAGCGCTTATGAAAGGGTTTGCATGGGGTCACATCAAAACAAAAAAGCTCTTTCTGAACTAGTTAATCCACTATGCTTGGATTCATTGAAATAAATCAAATAAGCGGGAGCTAACAAGAACAGCTCTTCACTCAAAGAAAGGAAGGAAAGAAACAACCAACGAGAGAGTCAGAATTCTGCACAGAGGCAAATTGGGCAGTCTACATAAATTGGGATATGTGCTAAAAACACTTTGATCCAACCAAGTTGGCAAACACCACAATTTAAAACAATAGTATGCAGAGAAAAAAGACCGTAGTACTTATGTAGGTCCTCTTCCTTTCTGATTGTGGGTGTCATACAATACAGTGGTACCTCGGGTTACAAACACTTCAGGTTACAGAAGTAGTACTTCAGGTTAAGAACTTTACCTCAGGGTATGGGAGAGGTACAAAGATCTAATAGAACAAAAAACACCTTGGTGGCTATCACCAATTGAAGCTTCGTTACTCAAGCCGCTTGGCAAAAAGGGGAAGTGGCCTACATATAGAGATCTACTGAGGGACCAAGAAGGGAAATGGAAATTAAAAGAGTTTGAGGAAATCAAAGACCATTTTCAGAGTTGGCTACACTATAGACAACTTTATGAGATGTATAAGGAAGATAGTAAGAAAGGGTTTAGTTATACAACTTCCAGATTTCAAAAGGAAGTTATAGAAGAAGAAGGGAAGCTGCTGAAGAAAGCATATAGTATTCTGCTAGAATGGGAAACAAAAGATGAGGAGGTCAAATCAGTCATGATTAAATGGGCACAAGATATAGGACATAACATACAATTTGAGGACTGGGAAAATTTGTGGAAAGTACATCTGAAATTTACAGATTGTTCTCTTTTGAAAGAAAATTATATGAAAATGATGTACAGATGGTGTATCACACCAGTACAAATAGCAAAAATGTACAAAACCAGGTCAAATATATGTTGGAAATGTAAAGAAAAAGAAGGTACTTTTTATCATACGTGGTGGAAGTGCAGAGAAGTTAATGGGGGGGAACGATATATAACGAATTGAAAAAAATGTTTAAAATGACATTTGCAAAAAAACAACAACAAAAAAACAGAAGCATTTTTGTTAGGGATTGTAAGACAAGACCTGCCAAGAAAAATAAAAAACATATTTATGTATGTTACAACAGCGACAAGAGTCTTGTTAGCACAAGGATGGAAGAACAAGGAAATCCCAATGAAAGAACAGTGGCAAGAAAAAATGATGAGCTATGCAGAAATGGCCAAGTTGACATATAAACTGCGTGACAAGGACAATCATGACTTCAAGGAAGAATGGGAACTTTTTACAAACTACTTAAAAAGACAACAAAATGACTTGGACTCCTTGGCAGGTTTTGAATAAACATCCACAAATTTATTAGTTCAATATATGATAGACAAGGCAAGGATATGTACAATTTTATAATATGCAGAGAACAATATGTGCAAAGAAACCAGAGAGGGGAGCTGAGGGAAGTTCTGGGTGGGGGGGGAGAGGGGGGGAAGGGGGAAAATAATGTAATTGAATATTTGGATCGATAAATTGTTATGTTGAAATTGTTTAATAAAAATATATTATTATTTTTAAAAAAGAACTTTACCTCAGGATGAGAACAGAAATCTCACGGCAGCGGCAGTGGGAGACCCCATTAGCTAAAGGGGTACCTCAGGTTAAGAACAGTTTCATGTTAATAACGGACCTCTGGAACAAATTAAGTTCTTACAAGAGGTACCACTGTACAATTAAAAACCACCTTCACAAAATATTTCAAAGTCTGATAAAAAAACTAAAACCAACACATAACACACTTCTAAAACTGCAGTCATTTAGCATTTACTACCGCTGGGTCCCTGGACATTAAACCCCCTAAGGCTCAGGTCAAAAAACCAACTTTCTCTGGTTTCTAAATGCTATAAATTTACGTAATTTATTTCCTAAGGATTTCAACCCTCTTTCCCTCCTGAGGACCCTGCAGTGTTTGCGTGTGTGCTGCTGCTGGTGGCTGCTCCTACTTTGATCAACAGGCTGGCTCCACCCCCAAACGCCAGCAGCCATTAAAATCCTAATTCCCCAAAGATGGCATCACTACTTTGGCCCTGGGATGTAAACTGAATGGCCAACTCCTCAACTCAGCTCCCGAAATTGCGCAGCATTTTCTTTACGGTTTCAGACAAAAGACGAATGAATTCTGAACATTGAAAGCTTGATGTTACTGGGAGCCTACCTCTGCACAGAGTCCTTGAGTTTGATTCTGAGTGATGATCATGTTTGTCATGACGAATACGGAGTTCTCGCCCTAAACATGTGTACAAAGAAAAAACACACAGTTATCTGGATCTGTGGTGTTTCCCAAGGAGAAGCCAGATAGCATCAAGGCTTAGCTCATTTTAGCAGAAGGGGAAACTTTGATTGAAATGTCCCTCTGTGGGGTACAGGAAAAGGTGGTTCCCACAAACCAATGGTTCAGAAGCTAAAATGTGATCATGGGCATCTTAGCAGCTCAGAATGAAAGAGCAGTAGATCTTGTTAAAGAACTTCTTTATTACGGAAGATTTTTATTTCTATACCAAACTAATATTGATCCAAGTATAAATGCTTTCATACATGCTTAAAACAGCAATCAAATACGATTGTTTAGGGAGATGACTCAGTCACAGTGTGAACAACAAGGAGGAAGTGTGTCTCCCAGGAAGCCGCAAGCTGCAGAGATCAGAGGCCGAGGCATAAAACAGGAGACGTTGAGGTTTAGCCAAAAGGAAAGAATCAGCAGAGCTGACCTTATCGTTCTTTCACAACGGCTGTAAAAGAGAATCAACAGAGGAAGCTTACACCCGTTCTGCCTTGACATATTGCAAAGACATATTGAACCGAGTTCTATGACAGAGAAGAAATTATTCCACACGACAGCGTACCAGGAAGGGCCTGGCAGCTATTTGCAAAGTGTCCTCTTGGATTAGACGAGGTTCTCTCAGGTCCTGCCTTGGGCTTCCCTGAGGCGTCTGACTGACCACTGTGGGAACAGAATGCTGGACTAGATCTGGGGCTCAGGTCCATGGACACCAATAGTGCCCTCAAACTACAACTCCCATTGGTCCTCACTGTTGGCACTGATGGTCCCAAATATCTGTAGCAGGGGTTCGGCAACCTAAGGCCCATGGGCCACAAGCGGCCCATTGGGTTGTTTAACCGGCCCATGGACCCCCACTGCCCACTTGGTCAGCTCCCATGCGCTGCGCTAAACCGGCACAGAGCAGAGCGGGGACCGCCTTCCGTGATGCTGGCTGGCTTCCCATTGGCTGAAGGAAGCTCCTGCAGCCAATGGGAAGCTGCGCACACCTCCTCCGTGCTGGAAATAGCGTTTGCACATGCATGCATGCGTGCGTGCACACACACTCCAGCCCACCGTGGTGTTTGCAGGACCGTGAACCGGCCCAAGCCACAAAAACTTTGCCGACCCCTGATCTGGAGGCTATCAAGACTGGGAATGCTTGGTACATGTTGTATCCCACAGGCTGCAAGCAGCAGACATGTTTTCTGAGATATGCCCTCTAAACAAGGCCTGAAGCCATCACCATAGAGCAGGGATGTCCAACAGGTCGATTATGATCGACTGATCGATCCCCATGAGGTTCCGGTCGATCGCTGTCAACCGTGGGCTCCTTTTCCTTTGCGGTGGCATAAGAGCATTGGCCCCGGCCTCTCTCTCCATCCTCCATTTTTGCTGGAATGGAAGACGTAGTTTTTGCTGTGAGGCAGATTGTTTCCCTAGCAATCTTTTGGTGAGTGATTTTTCCCCTTTCCCCTTTACTCAAAACAACTTTGACCACAAAAGGGGTAGATCACTGCCAGTTTTTATTCTGTGAGTAGAATCCAGTCTCTCCATCGCATTTTGGCTAAGTGGCCCAAAAAGATAACAAGGTCAGTGACATTAAAAGCCTCTGAAAGGTCCAGAATCAACAAGGTTGCATTCTCCCTGCTTCTCTAAAACACATGTTTTTTCATTGTCCTATATTGAAAGACTTTGGGCAGAAGGTAACTGAAACCATCAACAGAACTGTACGGAACAACCTTACATTTACAGAGCAAAATATATTCTTGAATTATATACCCAGCACCTGGAACCTTACAAAAGGACAATACGAGTGGACTCTCCGTGCCCTGACCACAGCAAAAAGACTGGTTCTGATGAACTGGAAAAATAAAAATGCGGCTCCCTTCTATGACTGGATTGAATACCCACTTGCAACATATGAACAACTTGCATATAAATGCAGACTTGCCATGGACAAATTCAATGATATTTGGAACCCATTCTTAGAAATACAGTGGTACCTTGTTTTGAGTCCGGGATCCGTTCCGGAACCCCGGACACTCGACGAAAAGGACACTCGACAAAACACAAATGGACGCTGGACGGGGCGGACTTATACGGAGGTACCACTGTACTGTAATGGGTTAAGATCTGGTGAAGTACAATAACAACATTGTAAAATATACACTTTGGGGGTTTTTCCCCTCCTCCCTTTGTTTTCCCTTTTGCAAGGTTTCTGTTTCTCTTTTTCTCTTTTTCTTTGCATCTCACAATGCTTGGTGCACATATGGTTATGTACTTTTAAAACTTTCAATAAAGATGTTACAAAAACCCCCACAAGGTTGCATTCTCCATGTCCCTCTTCCGGTATAGGTCATCTACCCAGGTGACCAATACAAGTTCCATACCAAACTCAGGAATGAAACCAGGATGGAATGGATCTGAACAACTGGCTGGTTGGCCACCCCAAAATGCAGGCATTTCTTATTAACACTCATAAAGACGGCCGCTGTATGTCTTAGGCTCTGTTTAACTTTAGTCCTGTGATCTAATGGTCTCCTTTGAAGAGCTAGCAGGTAAAAACTGTCCCCGTTTGCTCCAAGGCAGAGAGACTCCTGACCACAAACAGGAAGTATGCGTCATACCCAGCAAAGCCCTCATGAGATTCAGCTCCTGTGTACATACCTGAGGCGGAATCACGTAATCGGCTACATCCCAAACTCGGAGCCCCAGCTCTGAAGTATTGGTCACGGTGACGCCCTTCACTTTTGTGGTCACCGAACTCACCACTGAATCTGTTTCTTGGTAGCCCTTTTCCCACACGAAGACCCAGCTGCAAGGGGGGGGCAAAACATCCACCTCAGAATTTAGGTTTAAGTAGGGTTGTCATTTTTCAAGAAATAAAAATCCAGACACATTTTGGGGAAAATATTTTTTAGCTTATCCCCTTAGTCTTGCACGGGTAGGGAAACCTGCAAGTGTTACTGGTCTCTTCCACTTCCCATCATTTATGCATTTTCCATTTTTCTATTTACATATCATACTTTGTCATCAAATATTCTTTCCATATAGATTTCCCAGCCTAGCCTCCCATGGCATTTGTAATTGCTGAATATCCAAATTTTAATCCACCCTACTTTTCCCCTTCTAGTCCTTCTTTGTATTTACTGTTGTTCAGAGAATTACCCCTACTTGTAGCTTTGCTTTAGTATCAACTTTTTTTAAAGTACTCCCCCAAACTTTCCCATCCATCCTTTATTTGTTTTCCATCCCGATTCCTTATTTTGGCTGTCATGCTTGCGAGTTCGGAGTATTTTGTCCATTTATACAGCCATTGTTCTTTTGCTGGTATTCTTTTTCTTGCCAACTTTTAGCATGCACTATTCTTGCGCTGTGTGTTAAACCACAGAGCCTAGGACTTGCCAATCAGAAGGTTGGCGGTTCGAATCCCCGCAACGGGGTGAGCTCCTGTTGCTTGGTCCGTACTCCTGCCAACCTAGCAGTTCAAAAGCACTTCAAAGTGCAAGTAGATAAATAGGTACCACTCTGATGGGAAGGTAAATGGCATTTCTGTGCGCTGCTCTGGTTCGCCAGAAGCGGCTTAGTCCTGCTGGCCACATGACCCGGAAGCTGTACGCCGGCTCCCTCGGCCAGTAAAGTGAGATGAGCGCCGCAACCCCAGAGTCGGTCACGACTGGACCTAAAGGTCAGGGGTCCCTTTACCTTTACCTATTCTGTGCTTCTTTTGATAACATTTTGTTAATTTCCCAAAAAATAATAACAAAATAAAAATAATAACAACAATGCATAAAAAAGAAAAAGAAAACACCATAGCCAAATTTTTAAACCATATTTTTTGCTTGACTTCCCTCCACTCCCCCTCTTGGTTCCATTGTTTAGTACTCGTTCACGCATGTCCTTAAAGCCTTGTATTCTTTATAATCCAATTTTAAACCTTCTTCATCTTATTACAAGTGACTTTTAATAGCATGCACTATTCTGGCCGCTGCTGTGGCAGAAATAAATAAATTGCATACTGCCAAGGGGAGTTTAAACTTAACTAACTGAGGTTTTGCCCCCCTGCCAACATAAAGCCTGCCCCCCATAAATCCTGGCTACGCCCATGCATACATGTAAAGTATATTCTTCCCCCAGCCTGGAAAGAATGGTGGGAACTATAGTTCATGATGGGTGCTGGGAACTGCAGCTCGGCGAGGGGTAAACTAAAGCACCCAGGAGTCTCAGGAGGGCAAAGTGCTTTCAACAGATGGTGCGTATGCAGTCAACATCTGGAGAAGCACAACTTCGCTGCAACCAACTCCTTTGTAAGTAAATCCTATTGGAGGGGCTTACTTCCGAGTAGACACCTACGGAATTCAAGGACTGCCCTCCTCTGGCAACAAGTGAGTTCCCCTGCGACCCTTCCCCAGTTCTGGGGCGGAGGATGACGTGGGCGGGGAAGAGAGGTCCGGGGGTCTCCTCCCTCGCCTTACCCGATGACGTAGGCCAGGATGGCCAGCTGGACCAGCCGGTTCATGAGCCCCACTTTGCGGCTCTTGATCAGCACGATCCGCGGCGTGTCGTACTCGAAGAGGAAGCTGTACAAGCCCGCGCACGGCTTGCCCGGGCCGGCCATGGAGCCAGAAGGAGGGGCGGCGGCGGCGAAGAAGCAGAAGAAGCGCGATCCCCGCTCCCGCCCGGCCCGAGGGCTTTATAGAGGGCGAATCCCGCCGCTCCGCCTCCCGGGGGCGAGTTCGAAAGAGGCGGCTCCCTTCCTCCTCCTCCTCCTCCTCCTCCTCCTCCAGCGCCTGAGGTCGGATTGGGGGCAAGGAAGCGGAGGCGCTGCTCCTCCCGCCGCGGGCAAAGTGGACGGGGCTCCGGGAGAGGAAAGGAAACGGGAAAGGAGAGGAGTCGCGGCTGCTTCGTCGGCGGGATTCAGCTGCAGGCGAAGTCCGAAGGCTGCACGAACTTGCCACCCGGGGTGGGAAAGTCGTGAGTGGGGAAAGGGGAGGACCCCCCCGGCTGGGTCTCATTCACACGCCCTTTGAACAGGAGCAAGGGCTTCCCCAGGGCCGGATTTAGGCTGGATGAGGCCCTTTCTATGTCCAGCTGTCCTTTGTCAACAACAAATGGTCACTGTTTTTTGTGTTGAAGGTATGTGTATGTAGGTTTTATTTTATATGTTTTTTATCTTATATTCTGGAAATGTACACCCAGGTTTTTTTCAATTGGGGGGGGGCAAGAGAGTGGAGCCCTGGCTATAGCTTGTTTAGCTTATACGTAAATCCAGCACTAGGGACCCGGGTAGCACGGTTCAAATCTCCGTTGCTCGGTCCGAGCTCCTGCCAACCTAGCAGCTTGAAAGCACGTCAAAGTGCAAGTAGATAAATAGGAAGTTGGGCAATAGGGGCAGTACAGGATTCCTTTTGGTGTACCGACCTCCCCGCTGCACCAAGGATTCCCTGCCCGAGCTGCTTCAGGTCGTGGCGGATGTTCTCCTGGAGACACCTAGTTTGGTTGTCCTAGGGAATTTTAACATCCATGCCAACACGACCTTACAAGGGGCCGCTCGGGACTTCGTGGAAAGCATGGCCTCCATGGGGCTGTCCCTGAATAAGTCTGGCCCAACCCATAGCCACGGACATGCCTTGGACCTGGTGTTTACCTCTATGGATGTTGGTGATCTGACACTAAGTAAAAGCGAAATGAAAGAAGTGCCATGGTCAGATCACTTCCTGGTGCAACTGGACTTCTCTGCGACCCATCCCCTCTGCAGGGAGGTGGGACCAATTCGGATGGTCCGCCCCCGCCACTTAATGGATCCAAATGGTTTCCAGAGAGTGGTAGGGGATGCTTTATCCCATGTTGATGGCCTTTCAGTTGATTCCCTGGTGGCCCGCTGGAATGTGGAGTTAACCAGGGCTATTGACTGTTTGGCTCCGAAGCGCCCTCTCCGATTGCATGGAGCCCGGACAGCCCCGTGGTTTTCCACGGAGCTGAGGGCAATGAAACAATCGTTGAGACGGCTAGAGCGCCGGTGGCGGATAACTCATTCCGAATCTGACCGGACACAGGTTAGAGCTCAACGTCGAGCCTACCAAGTGGCGATAGCGACGGCGAAGAAGAATTTCTTCACCGCCTCTATTGCATCTGCAGAAAACAGCAGCAGGAGACTTTTTCAGGTGGTTCACAATTTAGCGGAACCACCTGCAACATCGGGGCCCAGTACGGGCCACACGTTCTCCTGCAATGATTTTGCAAAGTTTTTTGCAGATAAAATCGCTCAGATTCGGGAAGAAGTAGACTCCACCGTGGGAGCAGGGCCGGGGCGGGAGAGTGCTAGAGTTCTGTCTAGTCAAGTTGAGTGGGATCAATTCCAATCTGTTACCTCCGAGGATGTGGACAGGCTGCTTGGACGAGTGAAACCAACCACCTGTCTCCTGGATCCTTGCCCATCCTGGCTTATAAAAGCTAGCCGGGAAGGACTGGGCGATGGGCTTCGTGGGGTGGTGAATGCTTCCCTCCGTGAGGGAGCCTTCCCAGACCCGCTGAAAGAGGCGGTTATTAAACCGCTTCTTAAAAAGCCATCTTTAGATGCGGCCACGATGGCCAACTATCGCCCAGTCTCAAATCTTCCATTCTTGGGCAAGGTGATTGAGCGAGCGGTTGCCGAACAACTCCAGGCACGCCTGGAAGAAGCGGACCATTTGGATCCCTTCCAGTCGGGATTCAGGCCTCATCATGGGACTGAAACTGCCTTGGTCGCACTGGTTGATGATCTCCAGCGGGCTAGGGACAAAGGTGAGAGCTGTTTCCTAGTTCTGCTGGATCTCTCAGCGGCGTTTGATACCATCGACCATAACATCCTTCTGGACCATCTTCAGGGGCTGGGAGCTGGAGGCACTTTTATACAGTGTTCAGAAAGTGGTGGTGGGGGATGAGTGTTCAGACCCCTGGGCCCTCACTTGTGGGGTGCCTCAGGGTTCGGTCCTCTCCCCCATGCTCTTCAACATCTACATGAAGCCGCTGGGAGAGATCATCAGGGGATTTGGGCTGGGTGTTCATCAGTATGCGGATGATACCCAGCTCTACCTCTCTTTTAAATCAGAACCAGTGAAGGCAGTGAAGGTCCTGTGTGAGTGCCTGGAGGCGGTTGGAGGTTGGATGGCGGCTAACAGATTGAGGTTGAATCCTGACAAGACAGAAGTACTGTTTTTGGGGTACAGGACGCGGGCAGGTGTGGAGGATTCCCTGGTCCTGAATGGGGTAACTGTGCCCCTGAAGGACCAGGTGCGCAGCCTGGGAGTCATTCTGGACTCACAGCTGTCCATGGAGGCACAGGTCAAATCTGTGTCCAGGGCAGCTGTTTACCAGCTCCATCTGGTACGTAGGCTGAGACCCTATCTGCCTGCAGACTGTCTCACCAGAGTGGTACATGCTCTGGTTATCTCCCGCTTGGACTACTGCAATGCACTCTACGTGGGGCCTAACCCTAACCCTAACCCTTTGAAGGTGACTCAGAAACTACAACTAATCCAGAATGCGGCAGCTAGACTGGTGACTGGGGGCGGCCGCCGAGACCATATAACACCGGTCTTGAAGGACCTACATTGGCTCCCAGTACGTTTCCGAGCACAATTCAAAGTGTTGGTGCTGACCTTTAAAGCCCTAAACGGCCCCGGTCCACTATACCTGAAGGAGCGTCTCCACCCCCATCATTCTGCCCGGATGCTGAGGTCCAGCGCCGAGGGCCTTCTGGCGGTTCCCTCATTGCGAGAAGCAAAGCTACAGGGAACCAGACAGAGGGCCTTCTCAGTAGTGGCGCCCGCCCTGTGGAACGCCCTTCCAGCAGATGTCAAAGCGATAAACAACTACCTGACATTCAGAAGACATCTTAAGGCAGCCCTGTTCAGGGAAGTTTTTAACGTGTGATATTTTACTGTATTTGTGGTTTTTATGGAAGCCGCTCAGAGTGGCTGGGGAGGCCCAGCCAGATGGGCGGGGTATAAATAATAAATTATTATTATTATTATAGGTATCGCTCCGGCGGGAAGGTAAATGGCGTTTCCGTGCGCTGCTCTGGTTTGTCAGAAGCGCCTTAGTCCTGCTGGCCACATGACCCAGAAGCTGTACACCAGCTCACTCGGCCAGTAAAGCGAGATGAGCGCCGTAACTCCAGAGTCGGCCACGACTGGACACAATGGTGTCTTTACCTTTACCTAAATCCAGCACTGGGCTTCCCTCCTCCAAATAACTCTGGGAACTGTAGTTTGTTATGGGTGCTGGGAGTTTTAGGAGACCCCTGTTCCCCTCCCAGAATTACAATTTGAGTGGTTCAACAATCAGTCTGTCTTCCCAAAGTTCTCTGGAAACTGTAGCTCTGGGAGAGGACTAGGGCCGTCCCTAACAACTCTGCACCCTTCATGAACTACACTTCCTATGAGTCTTTGGGAGAAGCCATGACTATTAAAGTAGTATAACAGAATTTTAAATGTAGTGTGGACGCAGTTGATGCAAAAACAGCGCGCTAATGGCGGATCATTCCACTTGGTTGTTTTTTTCTGAGATCCTTCCCCAACATTAGCATACTACTGCCATCTGGAGGGCTGTTCTTCAGGAGTCTTCGATGAAGGATCATCAAAAGCTTATTATTTTTAAAAAAGTTTTTATTTTTAAAACACTAAAAAGAAATACAATTGTCCTGGCAAGTGTACAATTATGTATGGCATAGTATATTAAACATACATCACATTGCTTCAAAAGGTCTTGCTGCATCCTTCCATGATGGGTCTTTCCATCTCATGTCTCAGTGAATAGTTGCCATGCATCATCTACACATTCTCACGGGATACTCTCAAAGAGCTCTAAAGGGTTGTTTAGAAAGAACTTACCTGGAACTGAGTGAAACACAGAGGCTTGGGGGAATCCACAGTTATGTCACTGGGGCCTTCCCCTAGAAATCTGGTGGGGAATTCTGGAAAACCCCCAGCAGAAATCCTTTTAATAGGACTGGCCAAAATGTCGCAAAAGAGTGGCACAACATTTGTGACATTTTTGTTTGTCCTAATAAAGATATTGCAGAACCGTTAATTTTAGGTCCGTCCCCACCTTCTGGACCTTTGCTTTCTCTCTGCCCCACTTTATATATGTGGGTCTGAAGCTTCTGCTCCTGAGTCTCCAGTGGAGCCTCATTCCCATGAAAGCACCTCAGGGAACAGGTGGGAACCCTTGAAGCCTCTCGCTGCTGGGAGATGGGGACGGGGTGCAAAACAGTGTTTTTAAATGTGAAGTATAGCAACAAATACCAGTTAACAATGCCAGGAAGCTAAATTATAATGCAATTGCGTGGCATGGCATATAATACCACAGGCATGAGAAATGGTTACACGCAACACTAACTCAAGACTGCCCTGTTTAACACAATGGCGAGTGCTGTGCACCTGATTCTGAAACTTAAGAACTAAAGTCCCGTCTGATGGCCAAGAAGCGTTCCAGATCTCTTGAAGACCTGCAGCTTGTGTGTTATTTATTCTGAAATAGCCATTATACCATAGGGAGACATGCAAAATTTGTATATTTTCCTATTGTTAGGCTACCAACATCCAGATCAAACTTTTTTTCAGAATGAATAGCAAGGAGAGCTGTGGAGAGGCGTTCTGTTAGATATTTATTGATAAACCTCAGACCAGAATGCTAGGGACATTCCCGCCATAAAAAAACTGTGTTTGATGT